GAGCCCCAGCTGTTGGCTGAGGACGACAGCAGACTCCTGCAGCTGGAGACGCAAGGTGAATCCCGATAAGCACGGCGTTCTGCTGTCTTGTTGCTGGGCCCAGTCACCAGTTTGGGGGGTTTTTCTGTGCCCCGCTCAGCCCTCGGTTTGGTTTTTCTCTTCTCCAGGCTGCTATAATTACTTGTACAGGATGAAGGCGCTGGATGCGATTCGGACGTCAGGTGAGGGACAGAGAAGGGGGGGGGGGGAGCAGGGAGGAAACAGGGCTGCGTTGGGCAGAGGTTGGGCTGTGCTTGGAGAGCAGCGGTCGTTAAGCCGCCCTGGCTCTGCTCTGGCATTGGCAGCAATTAATCGCTAATTGGAGGCGGCGGAGTGGAGGTTTAAGGAGCCGCCAACCTTCCGCTTTGCTCCGTTTTCGTTTTGCAGAAATCCCTTTTCACGCAGAGGGCAGATACCCGAAATCTTTAATAGGGAAGAACTTCTGCGCCTATCTGCTGGAACTGAGGAACTCCAGCGGCTCCTTCAAAGGCATCCGCAAGGCCTTGATCGACGCTTTGCTGGACGGGTACGAGAACGCCCGCTATGGCACCGGGGTGAGTGGGGCTGCCCCTGGTCTGCGGCCCTGGGCAGGGCTGTCGCGTTGCTCCCAGGGCCTCTTTTCAACCTCTTTCCTGTTTGCGTGAAGGTCTTTGGGAAGCCGGAATACCTGAAGTACCAGGATGCTTTGAACGAGCTGGCGAACGTGTAAGTCTTGCTGCTGGGGTGCAGCGTGGAGCGTTTGGGCCGCAGCAACCCGGCCTGGTGCTGTGAACAGAGGCGTAAAAGCAGCCCAGGGTGCGAGGAGCCCGAGTCGGGCTGTCCTTCAGCTTTCCCTGCCCTTTATGTGTTTTGGGGTTTGTCACCGGCTCGCAGCCGCGTTCCTTCTTGCATCTTTGTGCCATGGGCTCAGCGCCGCCCCTGCGCCCGGCACAGAGGAACGCATCTTTGGTTTTCAAGATGTGAGAGCTGCTATCTGGGGGGCAGATCTGCCTTGTGTGGGGCAGAACCCACAGCCAAGCAGCTCCTGGGGGGAGAGGCCGCATCCCCCCCCTGTGCTGATCGCAGCTCTCCCTGCAGGACCAAGGCACGGGCAGGCAGCAGCCAGAGGCAGCACCAGTCGGCAGCCAAGGACCTCACTCTGTCCCCCGAAGTCTCCAACCCTGCCACCATCCAGGTCACCTACCTGCCTTCCAGCCAGAAAAGCAAACGTGCCAAACACTTCCTGGAGCTGAAGAGCTTCAAGGACAACTACAACACGCTGGAGAGCACGCTGTGAGCAGGGACCTTCCACGAGCCCCCTGCTGGGCACAGCAAACCCGGGGGGTTTTGTGCCGGGACGAAGCAGTCGTGCCCTCGGCGTCCCCCTCATGGGATGTGGGGCTGGCAGAGCCCCCCTCTGGCGGAGCCGTGCCCCTTTGGGCTGCCTGGGACGCTGCAGGTGCTCGAGGCCGGCGGCCCCAACCCTGTGAATAAACTTTGGTTAGCTGTAACTTATTTATAAAAGACGTGGAGCCCGGCCGGCTCTCCGCCCTGCCTCTGTTTCCCTCGGTGGCCAGCAGGGGCTGATGCTGTCTGTCCGTCCTGTCTGTGTGCATCTCGGGCGCCGGAGCCGCTCGTCTGATCTTTCCGAGGTGTCGAACGCCCTCCTTTCCCCCCGACGGTGGGCGCCGGGACCGCGTGTAAATACTTTGTCGGCCTCGTGCTGCTCCGAGGAGCCGCGTTGGGCTGCGGGTTGTTCGGCGTTCAGGGACGCCTGGGGCGGACGCGGCCCTGCGGGAGCGGCTCCCTGCCCGGGGACGACGTTCCCCCGCTCTCAGCGGCAGCTCAGCGGCACCGCACCGTGCGCCCCGTGGGGTGGGAAGGGGCTCCTGCCGCGGGCCTCTGCGCTCTTTTTAATTGCTCTTTAATAAAACCAGTTACCCCCGGCCCGCTGCGTGCTGCCGGCTCCGTGCCGCGGTTGCCATGGGGCCGTCGCCGCGGTGACGGGACAGCAGTGGGGTCTGCGCTGCTGCTGGCGCTGGCCGTGATGGCAGGGAGCAGCCGGGTCCCGTCCCCGCATGGGGAGCAGGTGGGGGTGGGCAGGGGGCTGCAACTGCTGCCCCGTGAGGCTGGGCGTCCCGAACTCGTGGCTTTGGTTGCAGGTGGTGGCGACGGAGATAGAGGCCTGTGCGGAGTTGGTGCAGAGGTAGAGGCACGAAGGGGGTCGGGGGGAGGGGGGGGGTGAAGGGGTCTCAGTGGGGGTCCCCACGTTTGTCTTGTGGCCCCGCGTCCCTGCAGCTGGGGGTTGGCAGCCGGGGAGCAGCGGCAGGAGATTTGGGCCACGTCCTTCGGGGCGCTGCGCTGGAGCCTGGAGGAGGAGCTGCGCCTCGCCGGCAAGGAGCTGACGGCGGTGGGTGCCCCCCGGGGGCTCCGGGCCCCCTCCCCCTCCTTTGGTTGCCCCGGGCTTCATTGCCGGCCCCACAGCTGCGGCGGGCGGCTCTGGATCGGCTCCTGCAGGACGAGCGGCGGCAGCAGCAGCGGGAGCTGCGGCGGTGCGGGAAGGCGTTCCACGCGGAGCGGCTGTGACGGGCGGGCAGCGGCGTCTCCGGGCATCAAACGGCGCTCGGCTGGGAATAAAGCGGTTGAAACAGACGGGGCTGCGCCCACCGGGCACCGCGTGGTTGTGGGGCGGAGGGGCAGGAAAGGGGGCAGGAAAGAGGGCAGCCCGGCCCGAACCGCGGCGCGGATCCCCGCGTGCGCCTCATCCCGGTGCCGGGAGGTGGCAGCACGGCCGCCTCTCGCGCTTCGCGTCCCGGTTCCCGCAGCGCTGCGCTGGGCTGCGTGCGATGCCCGCCGTCGGGTCGCTCCCTCGGCCCCTGCCCGCGCCCGACCTTGGTGTCTCCCGGCCCCGGGGCCCATCAGCGCTGCCCGGCTCAGCTTATTGACAGGGCCGGGGGCGGTGCGGCCGCCACCCCCCGCCAGCAGCCCTTCATTAGAGCTGCTGTCACCTCGCATCACGTCACAGCCCCACATCCCGGCTCTGCTGCCACGTGTGTCCCTGCCGTCCCCAGAGCCGCCCTCCCTGCCGTCCCGCTGCCGCCCCCTGCTCTCCAGCCCGGGCCGTGTCCTTGTCCCCACATCCCCCCCGCGGTGGCTTTGCGTCCCCCCAACCCGATTTCTGAAGCCCATCGCGGCACCGACACGTCGTGCGCCTCCAGCAACGGCTGAGGACGGCCCCGATGTCCGTCCCAGATGGGGGTCCTTCCTCTGTGCAGCCGCAGCCACGTATGGGGCAGCGCAGGGGATGCGGGCAGACCCCTCTTTGATCCCCTGAAACCCAGAGACAGGGGAGAGATGGGACGGCGGGGGGGACGCAGGACGCAGCTCGTCCTTGGGCAGGGTCACACGCGGCCCCCGACACGGGGAGAGCGCCGGGCTGTGGCCGAACTCGTATCGACATCCCCGCTAATGACAGCAGCGTGTGACCGGGGGCAGCGGCAGCGGCGCGGGGCCATCGACCCGTATTGAGCGGAGGGGGCAGGGGGACATCGATGGGTAATTAATGGGAACGAGGCCACGTGTGGGGCCGGGGCTCTCGCCGGCCGCATCCCCCCACCGAGTGCGGCTGAGCGCGGTTATAAACAGCAGCCAACGGTGCCGGAGCCGCCGCCGAGACCCCCGAGCCGGGCAGGTAAGGAGCCGCAGTTGGGGTCCCTCGGCTGCAGCCGTGCAGGAGCCGCCCTGCGCCGTAGCGCCGTGTGCCGTGGGACCGTGACCGCCCTGCCCTGCTGCGGTTCCAGCCCTGCTGCGGTTCCAGCCCCGCTGCCGTTCGCTTCCTTCTTGTCCTCCAGATCCCAAAGGATCCCAGAGGAAACGGAGCGGCCCCACATTGCAGCAGACGGACCGGGAGCCCACGGAGCAGCAGCCCCACAGCGCAGGCCGAGCCGGGGCGCATGGGTACAGAGCTGCAGGGAGGAAGGAGCCCCGGCACGCTCGGCCCCTTCTCTCCCCCTTCTCTTTCTCTTGCAGGGAGCTGAGCCCCGGGCCCGTCCCGCCCTGCCTCTGTCTGATATGTTTGATATTAGGTTGTTTTATTGGAAACCAACTAAATATCAAACATATTCTTACAGCGTCAGGGCCGCCCAGCGCCGCGTGCCGCCCGCGTGGGCTCAGCGCCCACCACCTGTTCCCCGATGCGCAGCGATGGCGCCCTGTGCCTCTTGCCCCAAATCCGTGCCAAGGAACTCCTGCAATCCTCCCCCCCCCCGTGCTGGGACAAAGAGCTCCTGGGTGCCAGCAGCATCCCCTGCCCCATGGCAGGGTGCTGGGGGGGGGTCAGGGGGGTCCCGAGGGCTCGGCTGCCCCCCTATCACCCCTGCAGAGCTGAACCATGCGGGCCGGGGGCTGCCGCCAAACCCCTGCTCTTCAAACAGCCTTGGGCTCAGCGCCCTTTGCCTCACCGCCCCCCAGGCGTGGGGAAGGACGAGGCTGGGGGCAGCGGGGTGCCGGGGGGGTCACTGGGGGTGTTGGGGAACGAGGGGAGGTGAGGTGAGCCGCGGCCGCCGAGCCAGGGGGGCCAGGAGGGGGGGCCAGGACCCCATCGCCCCCCTGCTTTGGTACGCATGGAGCTGCTGGGTTGGGACGCGGCGTCCCTGTGCCGCCAGTATGGGTGTCCCCTTGCAGGGGGGGGGCGGGCAGCCAGGACAATGCGGGACCCCCACCTGCCGACCTGCTGCTGCTTTTTATAACTGCCCCAGCTGTCCTGCAGGAGCCCAAATAAGGCCGCAGCCGCCTGGACCCCCCCACGCCAGACAATGGGTCCCGAGCAGAGACTTTTTGGGAGCATGGGGGGGGGGGTGGGGAGGGCCAAGAAAGGCAAAGCCCTGCGCCCACGGAGCGGAGCGCGCCCATAAACCGGGCGGCAGCGGGCAGCAGGGCCATTGAGTGCCGCCCTCCGCCCCGCTGCGCTGAGTCCCGAACCCCGCAGCCATGGAGGCCATCAAGAAGAAGATGCAGATGCTGAAGCTGGACAAGGAGAACGCCCTGGACAGGGCAGAGCAGGCGGAGGCAGAGCAGAAACAGGCGGAGGAGAGGAGCAAGCAGGTGGGGCGCGATGGGAGATGGCTGAAGGGGAACCGGCAGCAGGGCTGAGGCGGGGGGGTCCGCATCCGACGGGGGGGTTGGGGCCGTGCTGTGGGGCAGCCCCCCCTTCCAGCTGGGTGGTTGGGAAGGACTGAGAGTGGTGTGGGGTGGGAAGGAGCGCGTGGGGGCAAAGAGTGAATCCCCCCCGGCCACATGGGGTGCGCGGTGACGGCTGTGGTGCTTGCAGCTGGAGGATGAGCTGGCCGCCATGCAGAAGAAGCTGAAGGGGACGGAGGACGAGCTGGACAAATACTCAGAGGCCCTGAAGGACGCCCAGGAGAAGCTGGAGTTGGCGGAGAAGAAGGCGGCCGATGTGCGTATGGGGGACGGGAGCCCCGGCATGGGGCTGGGGGACGGTCCCCAAAACGGGGCTGAGTGCAGGGAGGGGGGTGGGCAGCCCTGGAGCTGGGCTCAGCGCTCGGCCATTGGAGGAGGAACGACGCCAAAGAAGGACGGAGGACAAAGTGCACAGCGCTGCTATTGTTGGCCGCCGGGTCCAAGCAAACAATGGCACCAGCCGTGCTGGGTTTCACTGCCCGGCAGCCACGTGGCACCACGGCTCTGTTTGGCACCTGCAGGGCCGTCACCCTGCTGCCATCCCCGCTGCTTCGGCTGCCATCGCCCCCGCAGGGCAGCGCAGGGTGGGGACGCTGAAGCACCTGCGTGACCCTTTGCTGGGCTGTTCTCCCTCTGAGCACCACAATTTGGGGTCCTGGGGGTTCGTCGGCCCCATGGTTGTGCTGTCCCTCATTGGGAGGTGACAGAGGGCACTGCTGTGCTGTGCTCCCCGCATTGCCGGGCTCCATTCGCAGTGCTCGGTCACGTTTTGATGGAGGTCCGCACGCCCTGCATGAGTGACAACACGGGGATCATTGGGCTGGGGCTCATAGGGGGGTGTGCAGGGGGGCTGGGTGGGGGTCTGGGGGCTGCCAGTCCCTATTGGGTGGTGTGGGGTGGGGTGAGGGGAGGTGAGAGGATCGGAGGTGAGGTGAGGGGAGGTGAGGTGAGGGGAGGCTCAGCACTGCCAGCAGAGAGTTTGGAGCAGAGCTGAACTGGGAATGGGGGCACAGCGGGGGGGGTGGGCTGAGCTCAGCCCCCGGGAATGCACGGCCGCCGCTGTGCCCGTATAAGGCCTGCAGAGGGCCCGGTGCGTGGGGCAGAGCAGCGCTGGCAACTCTACGGGGTGGGCAGGCGCTGCGGTACGGGTCGCGGCCCGGCGGCCACGCTCACCTACGGGCCGGGCCGCGCTGCCCCACGGCAGCCCCCGATGCCCCGCACGGCCTGGGCAGGGCGGCCACCACAGCCCCGCGCGGCACGGCCCGGTCCGGTTCGGGCTGTCGCCGTTCCCGCAGGTCGCTTCGAACCTCCCCGGCCGCCCCGCCGCCCGCTCCCCTCCCGTTCCCTCGGTTCGGGCCCCGGCCCGCCGTAGGCCGCGCGGTTCGCGCCGTCGCCAAGGCGACGCGAGAGGGGCGCGGCGCTTCCGGCCGCGGCCGAGAGGAGGGGGGGAGCGCGGGCGGAAGTGACGTCACATCCCGTGCGGCGGGGCCGGGGCGGCGGGTTCCGGTATTTCAGGGCGGGGCGGGCGCGGCGCGGAGCGGAGGGGGATCATGGCGGGGGCCACCACCATCGAGGCGGTGAAGCGTAAGATTCAGGTGCTGCAGCAGCAGGCGGACGATGCCGAGGAGCGGGCGGACCGCCTGCAGCGGGAGGTGGAGGCCGAGCGCCGGAACCGAGAGCAGGTGGGGGTCGGGGGGGGGGGCGGCGGGGTTTGCGGGGTCCCGGCGGGGCTCCGTGGGGCCGGGCTGCGGTCGGCCGCTGTCACCGAGCTTCGCTTTTTTTGCCCCTAAAATCAGGGCGGTACCGCTGGGGGCTCCGTCCGGGCTCCGCGGTGCCGTTCCGGGTTCCGCTCCGGGCTGCGCCGCCTCAAGCGGGGTTTAGGGTCCCGTAAGGGTCGGCAGGGAGGGCGGAGCCGGCCGCGCTGTGCGGACACGGCGGGGTGCGGGGCGCCGAGAGGGAACGCCGCGCTGCGACCGGGGAGGGCCGGGCGGCGGGCGGGGGTCGGCAGGGAGCGGCCGGTCCGCAGCTCCGTCCCGGTTTTGGGGTGCCGCCGTGGGGCGCGGGGGGCCGTGGAGTTCTGCGGAGCCGCTCCGGTGCCCGGAAGGAATGGCGGCGGAGCGACGTTCGGGGCTGACGGCGGAGCTGTGCGGTGCGGCCGGGCCACTCCCAGCCCCGCGCTGCTTTTCTTTGCAGCCACATAAGGAATTCTCCCGTACTTGCGGCGTTGTCATGGCGACGTGCGTTGCTCGCACCGGAGCGCCGCTGTGTGAGAGCGGAGCCGTGCTCAGCCCGCAGCCCCGGCTCTGCTCCCCGCGCCCTGGGAAGCGATGCTGGCCGGCTCTGCCCTTGGCTTGGCTCCCTTCTCCGGGCTTTCTGACTCAGGCTTCGCTTCCTGAAGGAAATGGGGGGTGATGGGAGGTGCCGTGGGGCTGCCCGGAGGTGTCACTGCTGCGCTGGCCGGGCTCCGTCCTGCCCGGCGGGATGAAGAAGCGCTGCCTGCAGGAAGGCAGCCCGGAGGGGAAGGGGGGCTGGGGATGGAGGAGTGATGTGCCTCCGTTTGCTGGGAGGAGGAGGAGGTTCACCGGTGTGAAAGCTGCTCCTCTCCTGCTCTGTGTCATTTGGTTCCTCTTTGAGCAGAGCGCTTCCTCCTCCGAAGCAGCTCTGGGTGGATGTGCTGTGCATCGAAGTGCTGCGGGTTTCCATGGTGAAGAGCAGGGTGTGCCTGCAGCCGAAAGCAAAAGTGCTCCTGCATCCTGCCGGGGGGCAGAGGCAGGGTGTGGGTTGTGGCAGGCCGTGCTCTGGCCTCCTTCCTTGGGCATGGCCGGTGGGCTCGGCGTGGCCTCGTTGCTGGAGGCTGGGGTATTTCGTGCGTGCCTGGTGTGTGTTTGTGTGCTGGGCTCTGCGGTGGATCGCTGCTGGGAAATGGCTGTGACCGCCTCCATTTTGGTAGCGGTGTGGAAATCCCGTTGAAGGGGGTGCTGCCCGTTTTTGGGGTGTCCCTGGGGCGTTGGTGTCCCTCTGAGGCTGCCTGCAGGCTCCGCTCAGGGCTTTGTGGAGCAGATGTGGCTGCTGGGGGTGTTGCTGGAGCTCTGGGGGTGGTGGTTCTGAGCTCTGCTGCTTCATTAAACCTCGGTCGCTGCTGTGGTCGCACCCTGGGCGATGAGCTGAGCCCGTGGGCTCCCAACATCGTGCTGGCACGTGTTGCTGGGCAGTGGCTCCCAGCCCGGCTTGGGCCTGGTGAGGATTCTGCTCTGTGGGGTCAGTGAGTGCTGCTGGCCGGAGCCCCAGAGCTGCGCTGTGGCCCCTCAGTGGGGCAGGCAGAGCTCTGAGCACAGAGCCGATCATCTTCCTCGAGTTGCTGTTGAGAGGGGCTCGGATTTGAGCAGCGCCGGCGTCCAGATCGCAGGCGTAAACTGACTTGGTGCTAAATGCCGGCTGTCACGGCGCGCTGGAGCAGCGGATAAATAGGGCTGATTGATGGCCTGGCAGGATTACAGCAGCTGTGCAGAAGAGACATTAGTGTAAGTCATCCACTTAGTGTTTATGGCTTAAACTGTCACGTCAGCTCGAGCTGACAGGCGAGAAACCTGTGTGGCAGCGGCTGCTGCGTGCGTGAGCCCGTGTGAAATGTTGCAAGGCTTATCTCGGAATGCAGGGCTCGGTGTAAGAAAGTGGATGCAGCTCCTCCGCTTGGTTTGGGCTTCCTCCGTGCTGCTGCTGTCCCCCAGCTGCCCTGTGCTGCTGGCTGCAGGCTCAGCTGCCCTCCTTGCTCCCCCCAGGCTGAGGCAGAGGTGGCATCCCTGAACCGCCGCATCCAGCTGGTGGAGGAGGAGCTGGACCGGGCCCAGGAGCGCCTCGCCACCGCTCTGCAGAAGCTGGAGGAGGCTGAGAAGGCCGCAGATGAAAGCGAAAGGTGAGCAGGGGAGGCTGCTGTGCTGTCAGCCATGCTGGGGTGTCCCTGGATGGGGCCCCATGCTGTCGGCATCTTCAGCTTCCGAAGGTGGGGAGCCGGTGCCACGGTGAGGCCGGGTGTGGGAGGACCTGCTGCTGCTGCTGCTGCTGCTGGAGCGGAGCTGTTGGCCTTCGGGGAGCCGTGGCTGCTGGGTTCCCTCCTGAGGGAGCAGGGGGGAGGTGGGGGAGCCCCTCCTGCTGCAAGCTCCCTTCTGGCCGGGAGCTCCTGAGCTGGGAACGTGGTTTGGAGGGGAGCGGTCCCAGCAGCGTTTCCAGTTGGCTGATGCACTCCGCTCTGTAGCGTGCAGCCTGACCTGGCTGCTGTCTGCCATCAAGATTCGGCTTTCCCTGTGCTTCAGCCTGGAAGTGCCTGGCTTGCCTGCACAGAATTGCCCTGTTGTTCCCAGCAGTGCTTCCTGTGCTCCAGGAGCGCAGTGAGCTGCTGGAGCCGTGCTGAAAGCAGCAGTTAACTTTGAGCAGCAGCACAGCAGCGCTGCTTTCCCGTGCCGTCCTCTGCCCTCGGAGGTGTGGTGGCTCAGCAGGGCAGCGCTGCGGCTGGGAATGCTGTTTGCTCTCTGGTGTGCATTCTGCTGCCGGTTGGTGGGGGTTTGTTTTAGTCATTGCTCTCTGATGTGCTTTCTTTCTTTTTCGGGCAGAGGCATGAAAGTCATTGAAAACAGAGCTCTGAAAGATGAGGAGAAGATGGAGCTGCAGGAGATCCAGCTGAAGGAAGCCAAGCACATTGCAGAGGAGGCAGACAGGAAGTATGAAGAGGTGAGAGCCCTGGGTGCTGTTGTGCTGCTGATGCTGGCCAGGAGAGGTGGCTGCTCTTCCTGTGCTCTCAGTGTGGGGGACCTGGCTCACTTCCCCCAGCCAGCGACTCTGGCAATGCCAGTGGCCCCTGCAGGCATTCCCTTTATGCAGCGACCAGAGCGGCGTTTGTCTTCCTTGCTGTGAACTCCGATTTCTCCCTCCCAGGTTGCTCGGAAGCTGGTAATCATAGAAGGAGACCTGGAGCGTACTGAGGAGAGAGCTGAGCTCGCAGAGTCGTGAGTAACCTGCTTGCATGTGACTGGCACGTGTAGCTGTGCATGGGAACTAACACCGATGGCATTTCTAACCCTGTTACACAAGGCCTGAAGTACAGGGTGGGCTCAGATCTCCAAATGGAAGAGCTGGGGCTGATCTCCTGCTCGGAACAGGATGAGATCCACTGAGAACGTGGAGTTTGCGTGCATCAAAACCAACACGCCGTGCCTCGCGTTGCACAGAGATGTTCAGACCTTTGCACGAGTGCCTCTGTAGCTGTTGAGGTCGGGCTTTCAAGGCTCGTAGCCACCAGCGCTGCGTTTGGTCACTGGATGCGCGCACACCGCTGTGGGGCACGTGGCGCTGAGCCTAAAATGGCCGAGGGCTCCTCCCCGGGAGCAGAGAGCGGAGCTGGGGCTGAGGCTGGTCTCTGGCCTCCTTCAGCGTTTCCAGCCATCACGGGGATGTTTGCACTGCTGAGTAGCGAGCTGAGCTCCTGCTTGGAGCAGAGGTGGCAGATGTGCCGCTCAGGCTCCTTTCGTGCGCCTCCAGGAGCTGCCCAGGGCCGTTCTGTACTGCGGGCCTCGTCTAACAAAGCCAGCACGTGTGCAGCAGCGGCGCCGTGCTTCCTGCCCAGACACGCATGTCGTGACCATGACTTCTTTGTGTTTCTCCCCTGCCCCTTTTTGGCTCTGCGGTGTTGTGTTCTTGGTGCTCCTTTTGACCCTTGCCCCCACCTGGCTTGTGCCATCATGTGAACGTCACTAACAGTCGTGTCCGGGAGCTGCAGGAGCAGATCAGAGTGATGGACCAGAACTTGAAGTGTCTGTCTGTTGCCGAAGAAAAGGTACTAACCGTTCCCTCCTCGAGCCATTAAACCAGAACTCTCGTGGACTTCTCGCTGCGCTCCTTCCCTCAGCTTCATTGCGTCCTTCTCTCTCCTGGAATGTTCTGTCCTCTGTCCTGTCTGAGTGGTGGCAGCTGCCCATCTGTCTGTCGGAGCAGCTTCCCTCCTTTCAGCAGAACAAACGTGCAGCTTCTACGTGAGGACGCCAGGTCCCGGCTGTGCCGCTGGCTGCCTGGTGCCCGCGCTGGCAGCGTATCCAAAACATGACCTTGGAGGCTAGAAGGGAACTTGCTTTCTGCAGAAGTGCTTCAAAGCAAGGTCCCATCCCGTCTGATCGCAGACAGTCTCCTGAAGAACTCCCTGCTCTCCCCTGCACATGGATTCACTTCTCCTCTCTCCTGTCTTTTCCTCCCACTTCTTTTCCTTTGTTTTGTTTTTTTCCTCCCCTCTTTCTTTACGAAACCCCGCAGTAAATGTTCCGAGCTGGAGGAGGAGCTGAAGAATGTCACCAACAATCTCAAGTCTCTTGAGGCTCAGGCTGAGAAGGTAGGGCTACTTTTCCAAGGGCCAGAAACATTTGCTTTGCTGGAAGGGTGCGTGACAGCAGAGCATCCACTGGGATGGAGATAATGCAGCTGCAGCCTTAAGCGAGGAGAGCCGTGCTTGCTTTCCCAGGAGAGGTGGTGGATTTCAGCACAGGACTGATCTGACTGTAGAAGCTGTGAGTGCGGGAGGTCTGCCTGTGCCCCTGCCTCGGGGCGGCTGGGACGTTAATGCTGCTGGGATGAGAGTTTTTCCTGTGCCTGAGTTGGTGTGTTACGTGCATGGTGTGGGACTTGCTGTCTGACCCAGCCCTCCTGGAGCGAGGGCTCAGAGTTTGGAAGTTTGTGGGCATGCGTACTGCAGTGGGGAGCTGAAGTGTCCCTTTGTAGCTGTAGGCTTTAGGACAGGAGATGCACGAGGCCGCCGAGGGCTGCAGGTCACCGATTGCTTTCCTTCCCCGCAGTACTCCCAAAAAGAGGATAAATACGAGGAAGAGATCAAGATCCTGACCGATAAACTCAAAGAGGTGAGCGGTGGGGTGGCTCAGGCGGGTCTGCCCTGTGTAGCAGAAGCCGTCGCGCTGACTGCCTCGCTCCCGTCTGCAGGCGGAGACCCGTGCTGAGTTTGCTGAGCGCTCCGTAGCCAAGCTGGAGAAGACCATCGATGATTTGGAAGGTACATCTTGGGGAGGGGAAGCCAGGGAGCGTGGTGATGAGTGGGGAGCTGAGAACAACTGCCTCCCAGGCAGCTGGGGAGCGGCGGTGCTGCTCTGAGTCGCTCGGAGCGAGGCTGAACCCATTGCCTGTGTGCAGCTGGTGCCTCCGGGCCACGATCTGCCCTGGCTGCGGCTCCCTGGCTGCGCTGAGGCGGCCCTCGAGCTTCCCAACGCCCTGCCTGATGGCACAGATAGCGAGAGAGCGGTGATCTTGGCTGTCCTGTCCTCAGGAATGTAACTGGATTCCCGTGCTCCAGCTTAACCCCATTTAAGGAGTGGCACAGGGGGGGAAAAAAAACCACCTGAACTCGCAGGGATTGGTTACGATAACATTCTTTTGTGTGGAATTTGCTGCTTGTGGCCTGTCTGCAGACAGCGTTACTGCAGGCAGTAAGGAACCAACCCTCAGGCCTGAGGCTCCCCAGCGTCAATTCAAGATAAAAGTGCCCCTAATTGCCAGAAGTCCTCTGGTCTGGCTGATGCTGGGCTCCTTTCCTCCTGGTTTCACAGTACTTCAGGAGCGTTCCTGCTGCTGCAGCCTCTCCTCTCTCCCAGCCGTGCAAGGAGAAAGCTCCAGCTGCCTCCTCAGATCCGAGGCTGTGGATTCTTCCATAGATAGCTGTGGTGGAGCAGCCACGCTGGCGAGCCAGAGCTCTTGCGGGCCTCCTGCCACAGCATGGGCCTTAGCAGCCTTTTAGTGCCAGGTCTTGGAGATGGAAAGCCACATCCTACAGCCCGAATAAAACTCCTGGGTTACTCCAGAAATAGCAGCGTTGTCAGCAGAGCTGTTCCAGAACTGCAGCCAAGCAGCAATCTGAGCCACCCTGTGGTCCAGGGGAGCTGAAATCCTCCCAAGTCCCTGCATGCTGCCCTCGAAAGATGTTGATTGAGCGTTGGCTCCTTCTGGCATTGCTGCTGAGGTGACCTAGTTTATGAGAACCGATAAAATTCTCCGGGCCCTGGGAAGCTGTGAATGCCACAACATTGCAGCCTGGGCAGGAGCCTGCCAGCTCTGCGCCATTTGGGAGCACAGCGGTGTGAGATTCAAGGCTGCCACCCCCGTGGAAGGTGGCAGTGCCCAGCCTGCTCCATTATCTGATGAGAGCCCAGGTGTGGCCCTTCTGTTGGGCTCATCCCACGGGATGGGAATTCCCTCTCTTGCTCACCGCTGTTACTTAACTGACTTCTCCCAAACAGGTTTTTGTATTGAAACCCAAGGTGAGAACAGAGCCCTTCGCTGATCCGTGCCCTCCTCTGGTTTAGCAATCATCTCCTTAGGTGGAGCTGCTCTCCCCTTGTGGCTCATGCTGACCTGGCCGAGCGGCTCATTCTCATGAGCCGTGGGGTCTGAGCTGCTCAGGCTGTCCTCAGGCCGTGTCAAACCTCCCACTCCTTGCTCAGGCACCAGCAGCCACGCGGCGCAGTCGTGGTGGCTCCCATCTGACTTCATTTGTCTTCTGGTCACCAATCCCACGCTGCTTTTCCTGCCCCAGGGTGTTGGAAGAACTCCTGTGCCTTCCCTCATTGTTTCCCTTTTGTTCTCCTCCTAAACCTCTTCTAGATGAGCTCTATGCCCAGAAACTGAAGTACAAAGCAATTAGTGAGGAACTGGACCACGCCCTGAATGACATGACTTCCATGTAAATATGAGCTGGCTGGTGTTTGCCTCTCGCTTCAGCAGGCTAGACCGCCAGAGCTTGCTTGGTTTGCTGTGATTTTCGTAGCTGGAGAATCAATGGCACCGTGTTGTTTAGGTTACTTCTACAGATCTGTGCCTCCGGGATTGTGGAGGCTGCCCTGCAGCACGCTGCCTTCTAACTGTAGGGCCCTGGGAGCTGCATGCGTAACACCGAGAGCTGTGCTGGCCTGAAAGGGTTCTGAGTCCAACTCTGAGGAGTGCCGTTTCCAGTCCCCCGCTGCAGAGGCTCCCTGCGGTGCCTCAGTTGCCCGCTGGAGCCGCCAGGCTGCGACCTCAGGTTCCTCTGGGGAGAGGAGCAGCTGGCTGGGCTCCGTGGGGATTGCCAGGCAGCCTGGAGACGGACTGGACCACGATCTGATCTGTGGAAGTAGCTGAACTCGTGTTTCTGCAACTTTGCTCCTTGGCTTTGCGTTGGGATCGGCGGTGAGTTGTGCTAACAGCCGCTCTGCGCAGTCCTTACCACTAACAGGGGAGGCCAGGGATCTGCACTGTGAGGAGCCCTAACGCAGCACCGAGAGCCCCCAGCCGAGTTTGCCGTGCACAAACACTTGCATTTCTCTTCAACCCGGTGTCTCCTTCTGTTTCACACAGATGAATCTTGCGATTCCAAACTCCACTTTGGATTTGCCTTTCTGCTTGGTGGCTTGTTCTGCACCTGCGCCCTGCACTCACGCTCTCGTCATCTCGCTCTGAATTCCAGCACCTTTTTTCCCACTCACTGTGCACAGGGCATCCCTGGGAATGAGCTGCCGGGATGCTGAAGCTTGACGGCGGCAGCAGCTCCCAGTTACGCTGCACTCGCTCCTAAACAAAGCTCCCTGTGTTTGAGCCGTGTGCCAGACACTGCCGTGCTCTGAGGGGCTGCCCTCTGCCATGTCTGCGTGTAGCTGGGAGCGCGTTGTTCTCATCTGCATATCTTACGGAGAGCCATAAAGCGCCTTTTGTATTTCTCTTGCCTCTTCCTCGAGCATGATGTCACCTTTTTAAAGGAAAAACAACTCTTGTGTGAATAGAAGAGCTGGTGCTGTTGAGAAACGGGTTTCTAGTGACCACTTGCTGCTGCTTTAGAGTAACAGTTGCGATGTTGCCCTCACGCTGGTGTCGCCCCCCGGGCCGTGGTGGAACACAGCCTTGGTTAATGCGCTGGATGTCTCGCTGTGGGTGCGTTAGCAGCTCACAGATGCAAACTGCAGCTCTGCACGCTCTGTATAGGGTGCAGGAGGGGCCTTGTGTCGGAGCAGGACGTCCTCCAGCTGTGTCTGTCAGCATGGCTGAAGGCGCCCCTCACCTGTAGCGCTCCTGGCCTTGGTTGTCACGTGCTGGCTTGCACACCTGGTGAGGTGTGAGCTGCTGAACACCGCGTGCCTCTGGCTGACTTCCAGCAGGGCAGCAGCAGTCTGGGTGCTGTGCGTGGGGTGGGTGCGAACGGCTCCTGCTTCAGAGGGCAGAGCTGCAGCAGTGCCGGGGGGCTCACAAAGCACAGCTCGGGCTCCTGCGTGGGGCTGGGGGTGGCGGAGGAGCCTTGGGGGGTGGATGTGGCGTACAGCAGGACACTGAGCACGGCTGCAGGCACGTAACACGTCGCTGCCGGTGTGAGTCTGGAGTCTTTCTGGTTGCTCTGGGACCGTGAAAACTGATTTGCCTCTTGTAACTCTGTGCTGCCTCGCGGTGGCTTCTCCAATGCTTCTTCCTTCCTGGATTGGTTCCTCTGCCACAGGGCCCGAAGAGCCCTTCAGGAATCGAGCTTTGGTGAAATGGGACATCTCCCCTGGTTCCCCGAACCTCAGGTTTGTGCACAGCCTGCTCTGCACACACGTGGCGCTCCCAGTCGGCACGGTCGCACGCTGAGCCGTGTTAGGGCTGTCCCCTGTGTGGGGCAGGGGAGGAGGAGGCACTTCTGTGAGGAATCCCAGAGTAAGAGCTTGGGAAGCTCTGCAGATGTTGTCTGGATGCTTTGCGGAGCTCTACTCCCAGAAGTGAGAATCCTTGTTGGTACCCAGCTGTGCAGCTGAGGTGGGGGGTCTGGCTGTGCGGGGGGCGGCCTCTCGTTACCTCCTGGGAGGTGGAGGCTTCCAGCCAGCACTGCCTGCCAGTTCTCCCCGCTGGAGGTGGCACGGTGCTCCCTGCCCTTGTGAAATGGCCTCTCCTCGAGGGGAGGTCCTGGCTCTGGGTTTTGTTACCTGCTCCCATGGAGCGGAGCAGGCGTTGCAAACCACGTTCCTGAAGGCTGGGCTGCGGGCAAGCCCGTTCCCCGCTCATCCTGGTGGAACTCCACAGTGGGTGGGTGATGCAATTCCTGCCCTGGGAGGTTTTGGGAAGCTTCTGGTCTGACGGGATTGCAGGGCTTGTGCAGGCTGGTTGCCACAGGCTGGGCTCCCGGTGCAGGATTGCTGCAGGCGCAGATAAGCCGACCACGAAGGGTCGTGGGGCTCCGCATGGCTGTGAGGCCGCCCTGCAGGCTGGGAGGGGAGCAGAGCAGGTCAGGCGTTGCTGCAGCCCTGCAGATGTGAGCGGCCGCTCCGTGTTCGGAAGCCGTTCCCGAGGTGTCAGGAAGGTCACGGTGATGACTGCAGTCGGGTTCTCCCTCACATGGGCGCCTTGTCAGGGCTCTGCCCACAAGCAGTAATACTGCCTGGGAGCTGCCGTTGCCCCAGCCTCTGGTTGCTCACCCTTCCACTGACTGCAGTTTCATCCCATCTCTTCCCATCCCATCAGAGACCCAGGCCCAGCTGGGAGGGTGATGTTGGGAGCCTGCATGCAGGGCAGGCTGGTGCTGGTGCCCCCCTGCAGCACAGCTTCCCTCTGCTCCTGCTTGGGTTGCAGCAGGGTGGAAATTTCAGCTCCTCCAGTTGTTGTTTTGTCCCTTGGTGGCTTGGAAGGGGGGTCAGTCAGCGCTGCCACCCTCTGTCCTGCAGAGCGGGGTGCAGCTGGGTGAGGGGAAGCTTCTCCCCTGTGTGCGGATGTCAGGGTGGCTCGGGGGGCAGGGAGGGATGTGCTGTGACTGCTCAGGGGAACACCTGAACTTGACGTGGGCAGGCCTTGCTTGGGAGCAATTGCTCCTAGATTGAAAGTAACGAGGAACAGCGCGGCCCTCCTGAGGTTGCTGGAGGTTCCTGGGGTCCCTGTAGCACCTGCAGGGTGTGAGGTGTGAAGGCAGCAGCTGTGCTTTGTGCTCATCATGGTGTGCTGTGTGCCACCGCAGCTACGAGGATGATTTCTATCCAGCTGGAAGCTGTGGCCTAGGGATTTTTTTCACTGCCTGGAATCCCCCAAGTGCAGGAATCGGACCCTGGGAGGTGTTTGTGGTTCAGCTGCTGTGGGACTCTTTCTTCAGAGCCCTCCACGGGCTTAAAGCACATCCCACATCCTTCTCCTTCCCTGTCTGCGGTGCAGCCCAGCCTGCGGACTCTTCTGGCGTTCTCCCTTCCTTTGCCTTCCCAAACCTTTGGCAGCACTTCCACTTCTGCCCGCGCGTGGCTTCCACTGCGATCTTCCCGAGCTCAGAAGCAAATTAGAGCGCGGTAAACCTTTGTTCTTCCCAGCTTCCTCGGTGCGATAGCCCGGGCTCGGTCCTCACAGGCAGGCTATGGACGTGCTCCTCTGGCTGCTCTACTAACCTGCCCTTTCTCTCTTTTTCTCTCTTCCTCTTCTTCCCCTCGTCCTGTTGCTGCTGCAGAGCGCCTGTACAGCCAGCTCGAGAAAAACCGCCTGCTCTCTAACGAGCTGAAGCTAACGCTGCATGATCTGTGTGACTGAGAAGGGGCCACTAATGCCATTAAGCGAGCTAATTGCGACCACCAGTGCTGTGGACCACACTGAGATCTGAGCACTCTTAAGCCTGGCAGACTTGCAAATTCTATGCAACCGCTGCTGTTGAACGGGGCAGTTGAATTTCTTCTCTAACTCATTTTAAGAGCTTTTTAAAAAATTATTATTATTATTATTATACAAGTGACCTGTATTCTCGGTGAAAAACCTCTCAGCCTTGGCTGATCTTTCAGCAGCCCTGTTCACTTGCACAGGGGGCTGCCTGGCTCCTCCAGGGAACCAGAACGGCTGCACCCACCCAGAGAGGGGTGGTGTGAAGTCAGGCTCGTGCCTGCTGGAAGATGCCTGTCACGGGCTAGAACGTAATTACTGTTAGCTGACTGACTGTAGGATTTCCTGCTGCATGGAATGATGGCTCCTAACAATAAATGACTGACCTCGCTGTCTGTGAGACGCCGCACACCTGTAGTGCTTTCCTGTGTAGCCAAGTCGACCTCAGAGGTCTGGGGGAAGCAGTGATGCCTCATCTCAGAGCGGCTGTGGAGTCCCAGGACGGGTTGGGGAAGCTTGCGGGTGTTTTGAGAGCAAGTCTCTGAACCCACAACGTGCAGCTGTCTCTCGAGTGCCCGCAGGGAGCCCTGAAATGCTGCAGTAGTTAGTGCTGTAGGAGAGATGCTGCTTGCTGCGTGTGCCGCGTGCTGTCTCTGACCCTGGGGTGGCTGCAGCCCCTCCCTGCCCCTCTGGGAGGTGGAGAGCAGCTCTGAGCACCCGCCTGTTCCTAAAGGCCGTCTTCCCACAGCGTGGCTACCCGGCGTCCCGAGGCGTGGATTTCTTCAGTGGTATGGGTGGGCTCACCTATGGAGTAAAGCGCACCTAGAGTGCTAGTTGCTGATCTGAGCTCTCCTCCTGGCTTAAGGACAATGTGAGAACCGACTGCGCGAGCTGCCCCGAGCCTCGGGCAGAGCTGCAGCACCCCGCTCCTACTCGCTCACTGCCTGCTGTTCGCGCTCTCCTTGGTTGTCTGCTCCCTGCTGCTAGGTAGCAATGGTCCCGGTGGCCAGCTTGGCATCTCTATCCTGCGCTGGGGGGGAAGGGGGCACAATCGGTTGTAATCCTAGGGGCTGGTTTCTTACGTGTGTTTAATCCTTAAGTTGCTCTTGGGTGGCTTGCTGGGCCACGGGGGCTGCTGTCTGAAGCGTTGAAGCCCCGGGGGGAAGCTAGCTGCAGTCTGAGGCACCTGCATGCACAGTGCTGCCCACAGCAGTAGCTCAGAGCGCGTCCTGCGGAGCAGCAGCGGCGTGAGAACGAGGGCTGCAAAGAAACAGGTAAACTCCAGAGCTGCTCACTGCAACCAGCCAGGCACCCACGGTTTGAGAACGCTGGGAAGGGGCAGGCGTGAGCTTTCTGTGGCCGAGGTCTCTCCGTTGCCTGAAGCCGACTTGTAACTCTGCCTCTTGCTTCCTGCCAGATAAACTGAAATCCACCAAAGAGGAGCATCTCTGCACGCAACGAATGCTGGACCAGACCCTGCTAGACCTGAACGAGATGTAATGGAGCCCCGCTGCTGCCTCTGCCACACGACGCCCGGGGTCAGCCCAGCCCCCGCTGCCCTCTAACCCTTGGGCTCCGTTTCCTTTCTGTTGCCAACTTGCCCCAATGCAGCTCTGCTTCTTCACCTGGGGGTTAGAGGTCACCGGGTTGGGCAGAGCTTCACACAGCGTAATTAAGGGAAATAAACGATGCAATAATGTCGGGGGAGAGCATGTTTGAGATGTACACATTTGTAACTACCTTCTTTTTCCTTTTTTTTTTTTCTTTTGTAGCAACCATTGTAAACATTCCAAATAAGCGATGCTGGTGAGCTACAAACAAAGCTCTGGGCTTTAATTTTGGTATTAACCCCTTGGAGCCCAGTTTGGGGGAGAGGAGGTGGGAGTGGGGCTGGGCTGGGCACGCTTTGCTCTGAGAGCTGCTTGCCAAACGAGCAGTTCCATTTCTCAGCTTTAAGGTAACTCTGTGGAGAAGCAATTTGAGCAAAAGCAGGGTTTTTTTTTGTGTTTTTTTTTTTTTTGTTTTTGTTTTTGTTTTTTAATTTTTTCCCCTTGTTCTCCAAACAGCTCAAGCTGTTGGGTCGGTGGTTGTTCCCTTTTCCTTCCCCGGTGTTTCCCTTTCCTTTCTCACGGGTTCCACGCAGCCGTGGCTCCCGATGCCCAGGGGTGGCTCTGCCTTCACTCAGTGCTTTGCCCCTCATCCCTGGGCTCAGCCTGACAGCTTCAGTCCTGGTTTTCTCCAAGCAGTTCTGCCTCCCCAGGCAGAGGCCTTTCCCTCCGGGCCCGCAGAGCTCCCACGTCTCACCCTGTGGTGTCTGTGAGGCCGAGCGCAGGCAGGCTGGGCCGTTGCTGTGTGCTCATCGTGGTTACGGGGCCAATCTGGAGGAAAAAAAAAAAAAAGCAAACAAAAGAACCATGTCGAGTGTTTTGATACTGAATTGAGAACTTGTCTTACTGTCTTTTGAAATAAAAAGCGATCTCTCCACACCGTGTCGCCTCACTCTGTTCGGTGTGGGGGAGCGCTTGGGGAGGGGGGGGGCGGGGCGCGCGCACGGACTCTTGAGGGAAATTGGCGCGCTGCGAGGGCGGGGCATCGCGCATGCGCAGTCAGCGAATGCGGTGCACGTGGTCTTAATGCGCATGCGCAGTCAGCGGATGCCGGGTGCGCGTCGTCCTAACGCGCACGCGCAGAGCGAAGCCTGCAGGAGGGCGGGAAGAGAGCTCTGCGGGCGGCGCCATTTTGTGTCGCTGACAGGATGCGGCGGGCTCAGCGCTTTCCTCTTCTCGCCCTCGTTGTGTTCGTCGTGGTGCCTTCTTGCGCCTTTAAGCTTAATGCGCCCAAAGTGTTGCTGCCCTTCAGCCGGGAGATCAGGGTGTCTTTCGCGCTGGAGGCCGAGGGGGGCTGTTACTCCTGGTGAGGGAGGGAGCGAGCAGTGCTGAAGGGGGTGGGGGGGTGGAAAGGTGTGCGGGGACGGAGGGGTTCGGGGTGCAGTGAGGAGGTGGGGGCCTGGATCAGGGGCCTCGTGTGTGATAGTGGCCGTGGCTGTGCTGTGTGGCTGCCAGACGGAGGCCCATGGCCTGCCTGACAGGGTCTATGGCCTGCACAATGGAGGGCTATGGCCTGCCTGACAGAGGCCTATGATCTGCCTCACAGAGGTCTGTGCCCTGCCCAACAGATGCCCATGGTCTGCCCACAAGGGCGGTGAGGAGCCCAGTGCTCTGACAGCGCTGTAAAGATAGACGTGTAAGCAGAGAAGGGAATGACTTTGTGTCTTTCAGGCGTTCCATGCATGACAACGTTGTCACAGCTGAGCCCTTTTATGAGAATGGTGCTGCGTGCTCCCAGAAAGCCCTGCTGTCTGCTCAGTCCACACAGCCCACCAGGCTGAGCAGTGCTGTGATGGCTGAGGAACACGGTGGGTGGAAAAGCAGAGGCTCATGAGGTGGGAGGTGATGTAGGATTTAGGACTTGTATGGAAGTGTACGATATCGTGATATTTTTTTATTGAAAACAAGCTATGATGAGTGATAACACCTCAGCCACGTTCTGCAGGGTGAGAAAGCAGCTATTGATTATTCTCACTGGTAGAGCTTTTCGCAGCTGTTGAGTCCATAGGAACCTGCAGGGGCTGAACGAAGCGCTGTTTGTTCCCTTGCTGCAGTCACCGGCCACACGCTCCGCTGCGACGTGATGGTTGATGTGATCAACAGCATTGAAATTCTGTCCCGAACTCGGGAGATCTACGTGGAGGATTCTCCCCTGGAGCTGGCAGTGAGAGCCCTGGATGTCAAAGGTACGGTTGTGAGAAGGGCTCTCCCAGTACCACGCCAAAGCCGTGCTCTGAGAAATAAATGCTGCTTGTTGCCTTCGTGTTCAGAAGGAAAGGAGGCTCGATTTTACCATGGCAGCTAGCGAGAGTGCATGAATTTTCCCCTTCATGTGTGAATTTTCATTTTTGTTTTCAGGAAACACGTTCAGTAGCTTGTCAGGAATGGTTTTTGAGTGGAGCGTCGCAAAGGGTGAGGATGTGGACAGCGTTGAATTGTCAGACAAAATAAGGTGACTGTGACAAAAAGGATAAGGGGATGTTTAGGGCTTGCTTTCACCTTGGGGTGCTCCTAGGGTGAGGAATTCACACGCATTGGGTTAAATGCTTGAACTTCATCCCTGGGCAGATTTAAATCTCTGTCAGGGAGGATCCCAAGGAATCCAGCTTAAGTTTGAGGTTCCTCTGCTTCAAACTGGGGCTGTGATTGGAGACTTCCAGGTGTGTTTCCTACCTGGTTTTTTCCACAGTTCTCTGCTAATGATTTCTTCCTGATCAATGGCCTCGTGGCACACGAGCCTGGCTGCGTTAGTGAATCCAAAATGGTCACGGAGATGGCAGCCAAGGTTACTTTTGTTTTCTTGTCAGGATTTTAAAATACTCAGAAGCTGACTATTCCCCACCAAACCACATCGTTGAGCTGGAAAGAGCAGAAAAACAAGGAGACAGAATCCTGGTGTCAGGAATCACGACTGGAGCAGCGGTTATAAGAGTGCGAATACACGAATCGACCTACAAGGTGAATAATCACCACGATTTTCTTGATAGAAAAAAACAAATACAATCCAAACCTCTGTGTTAAGGCAAACTGCATGGAAAACATGCATTTCTTTGTCATTTTTTCCGGCTTTGGCTTTTGTGGCTGTGGGTAACAGCAGCCTTTTGATTTCCCTTTAGAAAGTGGCTGCTGCTGTGGTACGCCTGCTGGTTCTGGAGCACATAGTGCTGATCCCCGCTCACGATGTTCACCTCCTGGTTGGAGCACTTGTGAAATACAGAGTTGCAAAAGTTGTGCGGGGGAAGATGACAGGTAAGTTGTTCTCCCAGCGTCGAGCCCAATTTTCTCCTGATCTCTGTGACTCGGCCGTGGATTCGCTGTGGTTTTCTGAGCCTTAGAGATGAAGTCTGGTTCTGAGCCGCCTGGCTGCTGGGGCCTCGTTGTGCTGGAATGCGGCACCCTGTGGAGATGGGGAATGGTGGCAGGGTGGATGCGAATCGATTTCCACGTGTAGCAGCTCCTGAGCACTGAACTGACACTGCCAGCGTGGAGAAAACAGCAGCCAGATCCTTCTTTAGACTGATG